GGATATACTTAAGAATTGATTTAAAGAAATCGACTTCGCGGAACTTGACGGGTTGGCGAAGAGTTTTTACGGGTGAATAAACCGACTTCGACTTAAAGTTATTTTTCAGAGTGTACAACTTTTTCTATCCTTTTTTTTTCAAAGTAAATTTAACTTCGATTTTGTGATCATCTCGTAACCACTGCATATAATATACTACATGGCACCCTTTGAGCGACCCGTAAATATTTTTTGATTTCAAAACAAAACATCAGTGACTTTATAGCTCAAATCTAGGTAAGAGAATTATAATTCCGACTTTACTTTTCTCCGATGCATATTGAACCACCACAGAGCATGTGCACATCCTAAGTATTTATATTATATGTACATATGAATTTATGTATGTATGAATGTACATACTATGTATGTATATGGTGCATAAATACGCTATTCATACACATCCATACATATGAATGTATGTATGTCACCGTTTAAAGTACAAAACAGCGTATCAACAAAATGTGAAACCGCGTATGTGAGGTTGCATAAATTATTTTCTAGAGTGTAAAAACACTCATATTTCAAAATGGTTCCCTTTTTTATAAGGCAATCGCATTTCTGGCTAGTATATTTCAGGACGAATGGATAAGGATTGAGCTGAGAGCTTGTGTGAGCAATATCAATTTTTGGCAGCAAATATCAGTTACGCGGTTATGCAGAATAATGACACGCGGTTTTGTGCTTTAAACGACGATATGCATTTATGTACCCTTGTGGTCAGCTGATTGTACTGAAAATCTGTAGTTAACTGACGATTCTAAGTTAACTACGCACTGTGAATTTGGCCCTAAGTCAATTGACATTTTGACTAGTTTTGGCTATTTTTCTTTTGTTTATTTAATGTTTATACTTTTTAATAAAAGTCTAGCAGTTTACCTAACCAACCCCATATAAATCCACTTTTCAAACTTCGTACAAAAATTACGAAAATTCAACAAACTTTAATATTTGTACCCGAAAATTTTAAGCTTTTTATTCAGAAATTTTAGAAAAAACTTCAGTATGCAGTTTTGTAGATCATTAAGTTTTAGTGGGTTAAAGTGCAAATTTCAAGTCGCTGGAAAATCGCGTTGATTTGTAATAATTTTTTCGCTGACGGTGTTATGCATTTTCTTCCGTATAAAATACGCTCGACAATTTCGTTTGTATGGGAAAAAATGCTTAGCACCATCAGAAAACAAGAATATTAAAAATCAATATGATTTTCTAGCTTCTTGAAATTTACAAAACTGCATAACCAAATTTTCACTAAAAATTCGAAATAAAATGTTTACGATTTTTGGCTGCAAATGTGAAAGTTTGTTGAATTTTCATAATTTTTGTACGAAGTTTGAAATGTGGATTTATGTGGCGCTGGTTAGGTAAAGTGTCAAACTTTTATAAAAAAACATATACATTAAATAAGCTAAATAAAAATAGCCAAAACTAATTAATATGTCAGTTGACTTAATCATTCTTCGCAAACAGAAGTACCCCTTCAAAACTGGTTCAGATAAAACAAATCAGTTATGTTCTGGAAAATTGAAAGGAGTAGCTTTTTTTGAAATCTAATATGGCGGGCGAAGTTTTTAAAATGATTGGATTCACAAGAAATTCCATTTGGCGGAAAACTTTTTAAAAATTTTATTGAATTAGCTCGAAACTTGTTCCATGAATTTTTTAAAATTAAATTTTTTGAATGCACTATATTTAATACACCATTTTTAAATTTAAAAAATGCATGATTATATTCGCAATCAGCGGCCCAAGAACCCCTAAGTAACAAACTTCCAGTAATCCAATAGTTTTTGAAACTTTGTCCGCCATTTGGATTTTAAAAAACGCCAGACATAATAAAAAAAACCAGTTTTGGAGCTTCAGTTGTCGAATAATGCCTAATATAATTGTATGTACAAACATATATACACACGCATATGCATAATGGTAATCACAATCTGGTGCATATGGTCTTGCGTTTGCATATTTTAGTGCATTTGCTTTATCTTTGCTACCATAGCAACCCTTTGGTCACAATCAGTGTTGCCATATAACCAGTAGTTATAACAGAAAATCGCATATCTGAACAATCAGTTGTATGTGAGCTATATGTAAAAGTGACCTGTATATTCTGTTGTTAATGGGTGGAAGTACATATTGCAAAATTTCATGTTCCTAGGTGCATAAATGGAGGAGTTATAACGAATATTCTCATAACTGAACAATCAGTTGTGTGGGAGATATATGTTACAGTGACCCGATCTTAGTTATTTTCACTGTAAGTATTCTGTTAATAATGAGTGAAAACGGTGCGAATTTTGATATTCGTAGCTGCATAAATGAAGAAGTTACGGCAAAAAATCTCATATCTGGACAATCAGTTGTATGGTGGATATAGGTTATAGCGACCCGATCTTCGCCATTTTCACTGAAAGTATTCTTTTGATAATAAGTGACAACAGTGGAAAATTTCATGTGCCTAGCTACTTAAATGGAGGAGTTATAACAAAAATCTTATATCTGAACAATCAGTTGTATGAGAGCTATAGGTTATAGTGACTCGATCTTTGTAATTTTCACTCTAAGTTTCTTTGTTGATAATGGGTGGAAGTACCGAAAAATTTCATGTTCCTAACTTCATAAGTGGAGAAGTTATAACGAAAAATCTCATATCTGAGCAATCAGTTGTATGGGAGCTATATGTTATAGTGGCCCGATTCTTCCGGTTCCGACAAATGATTAATACATAATAAAAATACACCCACCTACCGAATTTGATCGGGATATCTCGAAAACTGAGAGACTAGATTGCATACAAACAGACGGACAGACAGAGAGACAGACGGACAGTATACATTTTAATGGGTCTATCTCTTCTTATTCTGGTACTTACAAACATCGGACCAAAGTTATAATACCATTTCATGCTCATGAAAGGTATAAAAATGGCTTTCAAAATATATATAAGTATAGAAAAAATTTGAGAATATGATATTTATAGCCGGTTTCACCAATTTCCATATAAAATTAAAATCATTTTTCACTTAAATTGATTTCGTGAAATTGGCCGTTACTAGTGTTTGGAAGTATCGAGTTCTTCGATATCGATACTTTTAAGGATCGGGTATTTTTGGAAGTACCACTGTATTAAATTTAATAAATTTATCACTAGTTTCATCAAATGAATGAGAATACATATGTATATACATATCTATATGTAATTGTCCCGTTTCACTTCTTTTATATGTTTTTTCATAGTACTAAGTTTTACTAACTGTACTGGGTACAAATACCTGTAGTACTTTTCAAAACTTAAAATTGGGTACAATCATTTCTGAATACCGGTAAATGAAAATAGAACTCTGTAAGTATCAACACTTGGTACTGAGTACTCGATCATGAGTACATGCATCAGAGCGATTATTTTTACAGAGCATTTTTGAGTCCTCAGTACTTTCGAGTCTTGTGAGTACATACTGAGTACCTACTTTGAAGTGCTCGGTAGCGATACTTTTAAGAATCGGATACTGTCGTTCCCTTTGAGAATCGAGTTGTGAGTACTTTTGGTTTCGACAGCAGCTAAATAGTACATCAGTTACATAATTCACGTATATTTCGTAATATTTCATTCAATATTTCTTTTAAAATGTAAAATTTCTTGCAAATTCACTTATCGTGAAGTGAAAAGTTAAAAATTCACACTGAAATAAATGCGGTGTAAAATTGTCATTTTTATCATTATATGTAATAATTTTTAACTAAGGCCGATTTCGTTTCTACCGAAAAGTTCAACCTTTTCTTTGCCTTCTACGCACAAACACTAAGAAAAGGGCGACGAGAAGGCAAAATTTTTTGTAGAAACGAAAACGCCATAAGAAAAATGATTAATTTCTCGATCAATTATATTTTGATTAATCTGAATCCAATTGATTTTATTAAACAGAGAACTCATTAGATAACCTGACTAATCAGAAACGTGAATAACTGCTACTTTATATATATTTTTTAATAGAAAAAAAATTATAGACAAATGCATATGTATACATATATGCTCATTTCAAGGAACAACCCTGAAAACCATTTTTTTAGAGTATTCTGCATTGTAAAGAAATTTTAAAGAATTCGTTAAGATTTAATTCGATTTTTTGCCGAATTTTCTAAAATGAAATAAATTACGCACACTTCCATTCTTTTACGAAATTTCGGAAGAAAATCTGTGAAGCAACGAAAATAATGCTGCTATGTGAAGAATATCTTTCAGAATTTTTCCAGCATTTTCTTTATTTTTCGTACAGAAATTTCTTTACGAGTTCGTGTCAACCACTTCATATAATTTTCTTTGAAAATTCGTAAAAAATCGTTACAGAAATGAGATACTCATAACGATTTCCTTAAGATTTCGGGAACTTTGGTTTGCAGGGAACATAGTAGCCCTACAAACAAAGTTCCCGAAATCTTAACGAAATATTTAGGAATATCTCATTTCTGTAACGATTTTTACGAATTTTCAAAGAAAATTATATGAAGTGGTTGACACGAAATCGTAAAGAAATATCTGTACGAAAAATAAAGAAAATTCTGAAAAAATTCTGCAAGAAATTCTTCACATAGCAGCATTATTTTCATTGCTTTCCGATTTTCTTCCGAAATTTCGTAAAAGAATCGAAGTGTTAACAGTTTATTTTATTTGAGAAAATTCGTAAAAAAATCGATCTTTACGAATTCTTTAAAATTTCTCTACAATTCAGAGTACTTTGGAAAAATGGTTTACAGGGAATCTATTCTCTTGGCAATTTCCAAGAATAATCAGATTACTTACTTACCAAAAGCTTAATGATTTTTGGCGAGCCTTAGTCTTTGGAAAATATAAACGATATCATTTTTAAAACTACAGTAATACGATGCTATTTTTATCAGCTCCTTATGCGCTCAAACTGCATAATGGACATCAAATATTCAATCATTCTGTTTAATATTTCTAGACATAATGGCCGAAGCATTGCCAAACAGGCGATTTATTCGAAAAGACAAAGTTTTCATCGAGAAAGCTTGGGATAAGTTCTTTGAATTCTTTGATGATGAAAACCATACAGACGTAACATTCTTGTGGAGGAACAGTCAACAACGGTGAGTTACACAAAACTTCTTTGTACACTAAACAAAAAAGATTAGGCCTCAAAACGAAATTCAAATTTTCATTGCCAAATTTCAATATGCTTTGGGTATTTTTTTCCGTTCAGCATTACAGCTCATCGCCTCATATTGGCCGCATCGAGTGCTTACTTTAATGAACTCTTCCAAACGCCTCGGGGCATCGTACCAGCGATCTATATTGAAAATGTTGCACCACAGCCTTTTGAATTACTTATTGCATATTGCTACTCGGGCAAGCTTTATCCCACAAAGCATAATGTGTGCGAACTTTTGAATGCAGCAACAACTTTGAAACTTTGCGGTGCTGCTGCTATTTGTACAACTTACTTAAAGGGTAGCACGGAAAAACCACAAACGAGCGTTACGCCAATGAACCCTTCAACAAGTGGATCCATGAATCCAAATCCAGGTGCCCCAGTAATCACAACCAGCCAGGCTCCAAGTAGCGTGCCGTTGCGCAATTTCAGGCCGGACCAAATTGGATCGCGAACAAATAGTGGCGCTCGAGTGAATCAAACCAAAACTGTAAAGAATAAAAATTTGACTTTGGCACCGTCTGCTCGCAGAGCGACTGAGAGAAGTATTCAAAAGAAGGAATCCATTTTGGCAATACGAAAGTGTGACTGGCAAAAGGTAAGAAACTATGCAATTTATGTGATTTTCGTTAGTTCTCAGGGCATTTAGAACTTTTGAAGCTTTGAGAATTCGTTCGGGAGTTTTTTTTATAAAGATTTATTTTATATATATATGTATATATATAGTGACGTCTCGAAAGTGGATATCTTAAACTAATCCCTTTCAGCTCAAATAACCCAGCGAATCATTAGCTATCCGTGCAAGCGTGGCCAAAATTCTTAGGCATCGTCGTTTGTTTTATAAAAAATAAAAGCAATATATGTATGTGGGTAGTCTATAACCGGGTTTCTGCTTTACATTGTCTAAATTCTGCATAGCCAAACTCCTTTCTGCACCAACTGAGATCAACGTAGGACACGATGACGACTTATTTTTCCTGGCGAAGGGAACCTACTGGCGGCCTCTACTTTTTTCCCTTCACATGTTCCTTCAATTCGACGACCCTAAATATTGGCTCTGAGTGTCCCGAAGTCGGTTGACGTAGATTTAAAGTGAAGTTCGAAGGAGACGGTTTCAAGCAAGTAACTGTGTACCTGCTTACTAAGGTGCCATACGGCTACATATCAAAAGGCTATGTTGTGGCACTTGTAGTTGTTTACGCGGAGAATCAAAGCAAATTTCAATTACTATTGTAATGATTTCGGGGTTTTCACAGTCGGAGCAGCAACCCATCGACGGAATACCCAACATCATCTTGACCTTCGTCTAGGCGGTATATGCAAATGGTTGTCGAGTAATTCGCAGGAGAAGGTTTTCGCCTGTTTTTGGCGAAAAAGTGAGTCTGATTGGAGAAATAGATGCTTACCTTCGATTACAGATCATCAATGCCCTTGCTGGATACCGAGAAATCGGTAGCATATGAGACCAGCGAAATTTCCTCTGGTGGTTTTGGTGAGCTTTGAAATCTATATAGTCCACCACCACCGAAATTTCGCCAGTAAAAGGCACTCCTAGCGCATATATATGTACATTATCAGTCGAACCTGTTTTTTAATGTTTCTGTGTGTGTTCAAGAAAGTGTTGAATTCTGATTTCCGCAACAGCCGATTCCATGCACCGGAATAAGTCGAGATAATAACCCTGATCGCTGATTCATATTGTATAGGTATCCTTAAATTTTTACGGTATATTTGGGCAGTTCTAAAAGAAGTTTCCTCAGTTTTCCTTAGAGCAGTAGACCACGTCAGAGGTCGCGGTTATATTGCCCATAATAATTAGGCAGGTTCTGCATTGCACTTCCGAGTGAATTTCAATAAAATGCGCTTTAAATTCAAATTGGCCGGGGTTGAAATTCACTTGGAAGTAAAATGTAGAACCTGCCTGAATAACTTCAAATTATAGATAAATCGTCAGTGAGTGTTTTACGTTTTTTTCAGGACAATGAGAGTTGTATATATCGGTGCGATGAATCTGCGAAGCAATGGATACAATACGACGTATTGCTTTTCCCTAGAATATACTCAGGCTTAGCATACTCAAACCGAAAACTAATCTCCGTTGGCGGCTTGTTGGATGATCAACCAACTAGTAGTGTATATTCATACAATTTAGCGACCCAGACATGGATGGAATTGCCAGCAATGGTGACGTCTAGAGGCAGTGTGTGTGTCGCTACAGTCAATGGTAATATTTATGCAATAGGCGGATATGATGGCTCAAACAGGGTCCTCGGTACTATGGAAAAGTAAGAACATTTATGAAAGATAATTGTAATTTCAAATCGTATAAATTTTTCAAAACTTTTTTGATTAGACTCAATCTCACCAACGGCAAAAAATGGACTTTACTTCGGAAAATGTCAATGCCACGACGTAATGCCACTGCTTTGGCTATTGGCGAACTTATTTATATAATCGGTGGTTTCGATAAGGATTGGCAGCAACTAAGATCGGTGGAATGCTACAACATAAGAACGACTACCTGGACTAAGTGTGCTGATATGCATACTGCTCGACATGACTGTGGAGTGGGTTTCCTGACTAGCGTCAATATAGAGATATGCATTCTAAAACTTTTATAACTTTTCATGCAGGCATCCGTATTAAATGGTATCATATACGTAATCGGTTCAGGAAACTTGCCGCCTTTCCGTCATGATGTGGAATGCTATAATCCGCATACTGATACCTGGACGAAGGTAAGTAAGGGTAGAAACTTAGTTGAAAACAATAAGCTCAACTATAATTTAAAATTTGATAGGTGTCTTCATTGATTACCGCACGACATGGCATCAACGGCGTAACATTCAATGGACAATTGTTGGCCGTCGGTGGTTTCTTACCAAATAATTACAAAGGCTTAGTTGAAATGTATAATCCAACGCAAAACATTTGGGCGAAAACAATGCCGCTACCAACCGCTGGTATATATAAATGCTTTGTTTTGCCCACAGAGGAGCTCGTTAATATGGAGCCAGCCCGCAGAGCCAGCCTAGCTTTAAGTCGTACATAAATTGAATTTCCTGACGTGTCTTTGTTAACTGCGTGTTTGTATGTGTGCTGCACTAATGAAGCTGCTTTGAGGCAAAAATTATATGTAATTTTACCGTATTCGGATGTTTTTTTATACCCACAGATTTATAGAATTTAGTATTTAATACAGGGACCGAAAATAACAGTTACTTTTTTAACAGTTAAATTTGGCCAAATATTTTTTAAGGCCGAGATAAAAGTCCTTTCCTAATAATGAAAAAACCGCTTATAAAAATTAAACAAATTTGGTATCAAATGAAAAAGGTCTAAAATAGCTTTAAACGTGAAATGTCTAAACGAGGAAAGTCCCCTATTGAAAAATATTTCAATAAAAAATGACCAAGTGGAGAAGGGCTTGGCTTTACTTGGCATTTCTAATTGTCGTCAGTTGGAACAGAACAGAAAAGACTGACGTGCTTTGGTGAACTCGCCAAAATCGCTTAGGCGGTTACAGCGCCAAATCAGAACAAGAAGAAGATTATACACCAGCTCCGAAAAGCAGATGGTTTGTATGGAAAGTATTTTAATGTCAGACCAAGTTTAGAACCTTTTCGTTGCTAACTAAGCTACAAACGCAACGGACACCTACGCTAAACAAACATACAATTTTGCAGGCTAATATACACACAGATATGTATCTATACATAAATACCTATAGTTATAAAGTTACTTTGGAATAATGGTATGCGATTGTAATCGCCTGCATGTCCTTATTTTCTAAGAATAAGCGTTGTTTGCTTCTCCCCATATATTTTATACTCCACACGAAGATTAGAAATTAGAATCATCTTAGATTGCCTTGAGTATGTGTTTCATATGCTGCTGTTGCTACATGTACCTATATATGCACATATATATGTACATATGTATGTAGGAATACCTTATCCTGTTGCTATTATTGTTGTCGCCATTAATGATGTTCATATGCCGTTGGCAACATTAAAATGGGCGTTGGCTGTCAGAAAACTAAGCAGCAATTTTCGATGGCGCAAGGTTTCAACAGTCACAGTGTAGAAGAAGGGCGCACGGAAAAAGTATAACAGAAGTTGGTGGGCGATAAAAGTTAAGGAAGTGAGTTGAGGTAGAGGTACGGAAGTGAAAATGGCAAACAAAATGAAATGACTTTGTAGAATGCCCTGATTTTTCCGACTCAAAGCGATTTGGTGATGACAACATAAATAGGTCATGACGGTTGCTGCCGTCGCAGCATAGGAAGCGAAGGTTTACTTAAGGTGATGCTGTCGGTGGTGGTTGTGGGTGTGATGGCAATGTTTGAAAATAGCAGGGAATATCGTAAAACAGACACATCTTAGCGGATAGAAGCGGCCGTAGCAGTAGCCATTTGTTGTTGGCTTACATTTATTCCCTGCCATTCCCACTTTAATTGACAGTACTTCAGTGCTTACGTCAAATAATGTTTATTATAGTTAATTATTATTGTTTTGCTGGCTTGTGTTGGCTGAAGAGCGAATGTAGTTGTAGAAGTGCAATCGATGAAATTATACCCATACGCAGTGGTGGTGTGCGCCCACATACACAAAAGTGAAGTTGTCAAAACTTCAGCAATTAAAGTTAAGCTATTACGAACCTCGCCCTAATGACCAAATCTGCTACTCAGTAACTTGCAAATTTTTCACGCTTCAGAGAATTGTTGGTGTGGCGTTATTCGAGGCCTATGTATGTATTAAGGATGCCAAAATGTGAGGAAAACTGTGATCCCGGCATTTAGGGATATTTTTAAATTCAATATTGAAAGCATTTAAACATACCATGAAATAAAGCTATTTAAAATTTAAGATAAACTGATTGTGAGACTCTAGCTTAGAGTGAAAAGTTGCTAACTTAACTTTTTATGAAAAATCATATTTCGATACAGGAGGCTAGAAAGGAGTAAAGGTCCTGGTCTTATGTTTTCTCGTTTATATTCAATGAAAGGAAAATTTGCTAAGTCCAAAAAGCTCTGAAATCTTTTAATAAAGATAGAATCCCTCTGATTTGTATGGAGCTTTGCTTTGCTTTAAACAGGAAAAATGTTGTATTCAAAGTTTTGCGAAATACTTGAAGAAAATGGCTACAAGAAGTTTTTTCCTCTCCTGTACCATTTTTAAATTGGGACTTAGCAGCTTTGCACTCTACGCTAGTGATATTGATTAAATCAAACAAACTTTAAAGAAAAACATTTATCAAATTGAATTTAAAAAACCATATGATTGAGCATGATGCAATAATTAAAGGTGTTATATGTAGGCCACTTCTCGCTCTAATCCGGCATCTTGAACTACCTTAGGAGAAACAGTGCTAATTTGCTTTGCTAACTGAACATTTCCCAAAATATTAGAAAAAATTCTAAACAAGTTACATTGATTCAAATTTCGTTGTTCGTTCTGTTCTTATTCGCTGACATTTATTCTCAAATTGCTTGCAAATTGTTGCGTTCCTGTTGCGCCTTTGCATTAGTGTGTGCGTTGTGCTTTAGACACGTCGAAGTAAGTTGTAAAAGTAAAAAACCATTTTTTTTCAGATTTTTTTTTATGCTTCTGCTGTGCTGCGTTCCTGCTCCACCCGCGTATTAGATTGCTGCGTTCCTGTTTATATACATATCGTCGTTTAAAGTACAAAACCGCGTAACTGACATTTTCCGCTTAAAATTGGATTTGCTCACACAAGTTCTTGGCTCAATCCTTATCCATTCTTCCTGAAATATACTAGCTAAAAATGCGATTGCTTTTTAAAAAAAGATAACCATTTTGAAACATGAGTCTTTTTACTCTCTTCAAAATAATAGAGGTTGCATATCGCATACGTGGGTTTGCTTTATCTTGATATGCGGCATTGCATTTTATTGATACACGGTTTTGTACTTTAAACGACGATATGTAGATGTATGTACATACATATCACATATATTGACTTAGATAAGTACAGACAATTAATGATGTGTACATGACATTTTTTATATTGAAACCAGCAGCCCGATTCTGTGCACTTGATAAATTGAAAATCTTTATAATTTGTCAATTTTTATTATTTATCAAGAATTGGTATTCTAGCACAGAAATCAAAGGCTCTTTTTTGATAAATTATCAAGATTGAAAATGCTATTGACAAATTGCAAAAAAATTCTAACACTTCTGAGAAAAAAGTTTGAATTTTGGGTGAAAATTTGTTGTATTTTTTGTAGTTTTCTGCGAAGTTTTAAAATTGGGTTTATATGTGTTTTGTTATTTTTATTGCAAATACTTAGAAATAAATAAATAAACATGATTGGGAAATAATATCACTTTAAAATGGGGTTGCTATTGATATGACCGATACTGTATGTATAAAATAAATTCTGCACAAACTAAACTAAAATGAACACAACGTATTAATTACAAATTCTGAAATATATCGTTCATTTCAAAAACAAATAAGTAAAACATTAAAAAGTAGTAAATGCTTGCTGTATGACACGAATTTGGATCTACGTGAACTTGGGTAATTTATAATTCCTTATATGATACTGAAAGTATCCCTTATATAACACTGTGGAAGACAAAAAAAACCTATAGTGCGAATATATCAGGTTTGATAGCTGTTGGCCATACCAATAATGTCTCACACTCAGGTTTACTAGATCAATTCGTGTTCTCCGAGAAAAAAATTTTCACGATAAAAA